CAAGTCGCGGTGCGATTCGCGCTTAAAAAAAAAAGAAAAACGGAAGGAAAGATCAACAGCGTGGAATCGCATGGCGGAATATCATTTCTCCCGAGAATGAAAGCCGACAAACGCAGAAAGTCGCTGGTCCGTTCGAACGTTCACGCTGATGGAATTCGCGTCAGCCCGAGCGAATATCGAGAGCAGAGTTATTCCTTGAATTCCTCGAGCCGTTATGGTCCCCATGGGACCATTATGCGTCCGAATGGCGCATAATGCCGAATATAATGGCGCAGCCTCGCCGAGAGAAAGTGGCTTTATCCGAGTCCGCGGGGCAGTCGCGCCGCGGTTGAGTTTCGTTTGTCTTTGTTTTACGGCGCGCGGAAAAGTTACGTAAAGCATTCCCCCTCCCCTTCCCCTCGCCGACGACCTTGCTCACCCCATCACGACGACATTAGACGTTTCTGTGCGTCTCGCGCGCCCCTTTCGCTGCAAACGAATTCTCTTCGACGACACTCGAGGACGAGAAGCCGAAGCGAACTGGAAGGCAGAGGCGATTTCGCGAGCGTTGTCTCCCCCCGGCTCGCGGGGGGATTGGAATTCCACAGATATCTGTGAAATCAGCCGACGGGCAATTTTCCATCGGTCGCTGATAAATTGTCCAATCAGAGCGAGCCGCCTTTTTCCGAAGTCGAACGCGTCAAAGAAAAAGTTGAAGAGACGCTCGTTGAAGGAACGCTGTACGAAGGGAAGAGCGTAGGAAAATAGCGGAATATACGCGCTAGACGAGGATGCAAATGACGACGAGACGCACAACCGTTGCGAGTACTTCCTGCAAGAAGAATCCCGACGTGACATAATGGCGTGTGAGGTATCGGAGGTGGATCTGTGCCAAGTCGGTCGCGCCTTCGCGCTCGTACACACAGACACGCGCGCGCGGAAAATTGCTGCTTAGGAGTGTTATAATTATGTAAATCGATCAAACGGTGCCATAATAATGCCCCTCACATTAAGCACGCCGTCTTCCGTTTACGGCGTAAGAGAAATTCAGCGCGCGGAAGGCGACGGCGCGCGACCGAAGCGATCGTCGCGCTGACGAGCGCCTTTCCGTCGCCGCGCTCCGGCGAGCTATCGGGTTCCGGCCGAGTGTTGGAAAAGTGACTTGAAGCCAGCGATTAAGCGATATCGCGTGATTTCGGGGAAATTGTGCCTCGTGCAATTACGCCGGCTTGTTGGTCGAGCAGCTCAACCAGGCGATTTCTTCGTTGCTGGAGTCCTTCATCGACGAACTAATATGAATTAATTATTAAAAACGAAACGAGCGCAAAGTCATTTGCGAAATGACTATTCGACTCGACTACTCGAGTGAAATTTAGCTCTTAGTGGGTCTCTTTCGACTTTTGTTAACAGTGCATCTGAAATTTAATTTTCAAAAATTTTTGATTATCAAAAAAATAATGAGGATGTGGTAATAATAGTAATAATAATAATTCAAAGGTAGAGAAATTCTGATATTGACAAGAGCAACGATGGCAAGTTTCCGATTAGCAATGAATTTATATTTATCATTCCCTTATCCTTGCTGATAGGTGTGAACAGGGGAGCTCAAGAGAACCTGCACTTTCCTCCAGAGTCCTGCGTATCAATCACGGGTCGTAAAGTAGTGTCAACTCAATCCGGCCGTAGATAACATTCAGACGACGCGTATCGTCGCGCTATCTCGGACTTTTGTCGATTTTCCCTTTTTGTTCCTTTTTCCGTGTCCTGCGCAAATGGACGAGAGTTATTTGCAATCCTGTTCCCTCCGTACGGCGACACATGTCGCGGTCGCTCCCATTCGCACGCGAATCGCGCGCCTAATGTTGGATCCGACGCGAAGTCGAAGACGGGCGACGAGAACGCGCGGATCTGTGCGTGTGTTTGTTTCGGTAGAACAAATTATTGACAGTACACTCAGAATGCGTGAATATTCCTCGATAACAAATCCCTGTGCAAACCGCCGCCACGTGTTCCCGACGTTTCTCGTTCCCTGGTAGTAGGCGTAGGCGGTGCGATCTTGTATTATTTCACGGCGCGATAAAAAATCAAATGAATCGCCCATCTCCCCAGGATTAGAAACTAACGTACTATTCATCGATGTAACGCGTCGCAGCAATGTTAGCTTCTCAAGTTGCATCCTCTTGTAACAACGTGATTGCGTGGTATCAATAATGTTAATTTTAACCAGGGAAAAGTGTGACTAAATAGCGAAACGAAAAATTAAGTATTAATAAAAAGTTCCTCTGGACACACGTGTTCCTCAACTATAGTAAAACGATGTTTTAATCTCATTCATCTTTTAATTCTTCATTTAATATAAAACAGAGAGATCGCAGTTCGCAGTGTCAATATCAAGAAATAAAAACTCGACATCTTCAAAGCCATCTACCGATCTCGAGGTGGAGAAAGAAACTGTCGTACATTTTTCAAAATCGAAACTGTATTCCTGCAGTGCAGCAATTTTCTCGAGTAACGGTGGGGAGATGACGAATCACCTCACAGGATGACTTTTCTAACTTCTGTGAATTTTATTCAGCACGGACGTGATGTAAAGAATAAGTGGCGTCTCGCGTTTTAACATTCCGCTCGCGTTCTCTGGGCTCAGCGATTGGTGACACCGTGATTGATGAACGCTAATACGGACACACGAATCGATGCTGATTGCTGTCGCTATCTGCGCGCCGCTGATCCCTCCGTAAACTGATATTCCATGTCGCGCTATTAAGTATACAAAATACACCTGATAATCTCTCGCGCGCCAGCCGCGCCTCGGCTCCTCTATTGCATTGCAGCACAATAATATTCGTCCGATTGATAAAGCGTCGAGTGTAACAAGCAGCGATCGTTCTCGTGCATCCTTATCGCATCGTGTTTCCGGCTGATTTTCTTCGTAATCTGGAAGCGAAAATTAAAGGACGCTCGATAAAGTCTTCTTTTTCAGGATTCTTTCCGAACTTCAGGCGTAATAACGGACAAAGGTGATGAAAATTTTCGAGATGATGATCGGTCGTCTCACGATGAAAAATCGATTGGTTCGAAGCGTTTCGTGGATTGGCTCGTTAAAACTCCTTCCTGAACGCGTTGTTAACGCGGTTGGTTTCTATAGCAATGTCCCGGGCATTATCTGCTGATTAGCGAAAGCGACATATGGTCATCGTTGGTTTTATTAGATTATCTGCCATTTATTTTTAACCGCGGATACGCGTATACGCGAACGTCAAATGCCTGCGAGAAGGCGAACCTTCAGGTCAGAACTTCAAGAGAGAACATTGTAAATCGTAAGTAACGAGATTGCCTCTTTTGTATTTTGCAGCAACGTGCCTTATCTTCCGGCTAAATAATCTCTTGCAAAAATAATGTAACGTTATTAAATTTCAAAAGATACACATTTTCGTTTCGGCAAAAATTATATTTTCCTCTTTTGACGAGAAAAAAAGACGAATTTTTCATTCGTTGACGATAACGTAAAATAAGCATCTTTGAGATGCCAGATAACTATATCTAATAAAAAGAAACGAAACTGATAATTTTATATCTGATTGGCGATCAGATTTTATATCTATTTGCTCTTGGAGGAACTTATTCCTCAGGTCAATCGTACACGCCTGTTTCCAGCTATCCCGTTGTGCTTTGCTGTTAGGCGGTGCAGACGAACGAATGTCTAAATATCGTAGAAGACGTGATTTACTATTAATAACATTCGCAGGAACACAAATTGCTCCCTAAATCATTAGTGAGTTTTTATACAGTAGTACAATACAACGGAATTTTAATTTAATGTAAAAACACAATCTTCTACACACAATTTCTGAGTGAAAAATAGAGAAATCCTGAGAATGTTTAATAACGAAGAAAAATATTACAAATCTCAGATTTTTCATCGACACGTTTCTTCACTGCGGTAAAACGATATTAACTTTTACTACTTACTGAATATTTATCTATTATAAGATAGAAGTCATTTGCAGTCTCGGTGCAGTCAGGAAACAAAACTCGACGTCTCGTGTTTGATGCTCGAGATGAAACCATTCACTGCTTCAAGTCGATACTTGACGTTTAAAACTTCTAATTTTTCCATTTAAAACCTTGCTCCTCAGTGCTCAGATATTGCTACAGCATCCGAAAGCCCAATTTTCACAACGGCAATCGTTATAAAAACGTGTCAGGGCTCGATCGTAAGTTCAGGGCCCGCTCACTCGCGATAATCTCAAAGCGGTGTAATCGCCCTAAAAACCTCTAATCTTCTAACAAGGCGGCTACATCGCCGTGGCACGCGTCTAATGCATACACGAGGAGCGGGGAGAGCGCGCTGAGGGTACCCCTCTATGGTGATTATGGGGTGAACTCTCCCTCTTTCTCTCTCTCTCTCTTTTTCTCCCTCGGTGCCCCATAGAGCCTCAGTGGCCCTGCTGCTCGTGGAGGGGGCGAAATACCCCCGGGACGGTATATATGTTCTAAGAGCCCCTTGCCACATGCACAGTACTAAATTGTACCCCGCCTAGTCCGCTCGCCGGTGAGTTCTTATTTTGTCGCGCGGCCGTCGATCTTGCGTTGTGCTCCTGTGATACGTGCCTCCGATAATCGCGTAACGCTCGTCCTTGTCTTGAAAACGGCGGTGCAGTTTTCTTCCTGTGTTGCGTGTCACTTTGGGATTATACTTCACTCCCCGCCGGGGATTACTTCGCTCTTCCCGCGGCTTGTCGAAAGGTACGTCGAGCGAGTGCTCGCGACGAACTCGATGCTCGACGAGTTCGTTACACGGGAATATGTTTGTAATAACTTTTCAAATGAGCTGTGCTCGAGATATGTAGATGTCTTGCTTTCGGAGAGATATAAATCGGAGAGATCCTATTTTTCTTAGGAGCGAAATATTTTTTATTTATTTTTATCATTTATCTTTCATTACTTATTATTTATTTTTTTTAATTCAATTTGTATGGATAGAGCCACAGAGTGTAGAGACAAACGGATTATTCGGCGTTGCAGCTAGACAGAGCGATGTCGTCGGAGTATTCGTTCTGCAGCGAGGGTGGCTTCGACGAGCTCTCGAGCTCCTCCGATTCCGGTTTCGACGTTAGCTTCGAGTCGCCGAAACACGAAGTGCCGACCGACACTCTCTTCGCCCCGGTCAAGGAGGAGAAGCGCAAGAAGACGCGGAACACTCGCTGCAAAAGCCCCGCGCAGGTATATACATCCCGTGATCAATTTCCAAGTATCGAAACAGGGTCTTACAATATTGCGTTCGCAACCACGATTATCCGACTCGACTGAAACCCAGCTAGAATCCTACACTTTGAGCACAAATACGTACAAACCTTGAAGAAGTCAACGAAAGTAAAAAGCGGCTTACAAGAGCTAATAAACTTTTGATCAATAATCAACTAATAAGAGCCAATCATCAAACGCGTCTTAAAGACGTCGAAAAGATACCTTAGACGTTCCATAGACGTCTTCTAGAACTCTATCAACGCCGTCTGGAAATGTTGTTATAACGACAAAAAGACACGGTCAAACTTGAACACCCGCGATCTTCCTTCTCTTCCGCGAACAGGTGCTGAGGCTGAAGCGGAACCGACGGATAAAGGCGAACGACCGCGAACGTCACCGGATGCATACCCTGAACGACGCCCTGGAGCGCCTGAGGATGGCCTTGCCGACCTTCCCGGAGGACACGAAGCTGACGAAGATCGAGACGCTGCGCTTCGCGCACAACTACATCTGGGCGCTCTCGCAGACCTTGGGCAACGCGGACAGCGGCGAGATCACCGTGAACGTCGGCAACGTCACCGTCAACATCGGCGAGAACGGCAACATGATCACCTCGTCGACGGGTAGCTGCGCGGTGGCCGCGCAGAAGAGGCTCGGCCCGACGCACACCGGCTTCCCGTACCCTCAGGAGCGATTCGTGCCGGAGTGGCAGGAGTACGACTGCTACAGCGACCAGAGCGTCAGTCCGCCCATGCAGTATCAGCCCTGCTACGACCAGAGGATGTACCATCCTCATCGTCCTCAGCACCAGCTGCCGCCGCCGCCTCACCACCACATGGTCCACCATACCAACATGTATCAGTGTCTCTAGGACGTTTCGCGGTGGAAACAGCGTTATGAGGAAACGAAGAAGCGGCCATTTGAAGAATTTATCAGTGAGTTAATCGAAGGATAAATATGGACGGAAGGGTATAATCGTAGCTGAAGACGCGGGCTGTGGCTTCAAGTGCGTTTCCGCGAGGCCGACGTGCCTGTAAAGAGAAAAGGACAGTGCTATGATTATCGTTATCTACTTTGTAAGAGAGTATTTTATTTGTGAGGAGTATTCGCGTAACACTCTGACGGTGTCAGTCGATTGGGACGGTTCTTCAGTTCAACGTTCAGTTCGACGTTTCGCTTCCGATTCTCTCTTCATGTTCCTCTTTTACTTTTCTTTTCTATCGTCAGTCGTGGAAGATGGAGGAGGCGTTCATGAGACGCTACGTCTGATTCGCTTCGAAATCGTACCGAGCGCGCTCCTCTTTCCACGTTAAATTAGGAGAAGTATCTTAATTCCGTAATTAAGATATAATTGATCGAGGATTAATTGACAATCGATAGATCTCTTACGTTACAAGTAGCGTACTCCAGCCGTGCGTTCCTTTTGTTCTAGTCATGAATATCCTTAGTTGATCTCGTACGCTCGATCTCGCTTTTGGTTCAGCGTATCTTAGGTAGATTTAAGTTGTAATTGGATGTACACTTACAACGTCCGCCAGTGCTCTTATCGTAACACGGAAAATCGCCGATTCAGGGAATATATATTGTACATAATTTATAATTTACCAATAAAAAGTGCATATTTTACCTAACCACGTGCCGGAGATCTATTCTTCGCGATCCCGTAGCGTCTTCACAATGCTCTACGAAACGTTCCGATCCACTTTGCAGGAATGGAACGGCCGCTCGGGAACGAGCGAGCACGTGCCGCGACACGCGTCCTGGCGCGGGAAGCCATCGTAAGGCAGATGCATCACAAATCATTCCTGAAGTTACATCTACCCGTATAATCCGGGGGATTACACGTAAAACAGGACTGCGAAACGTCCAACGGACGCGAGTGTTGAACAAGCAATTATCGTACTTAACGAAATTCAATCATTCGTATCGCGAATTAGTTTCGGGCCTTTAGTGATTAAATCCTGACGACCGATAATTAAATTTTGAAGTAATATTTATTTTTAATCTTTAAATAGTTAAATCTTGTCAATTTTTATCATTTGGTTTTGGTAAACGGGACTTTGTCGCACTACGATGTGCATTATGTTTATTTCTTTCTATTTATTTATCAACGGGTAATGCCCATTCTCTAAGAAAAACAAGATAGATAAAATAGATAAAATTTATATTCTCTAGTCACAGGACGAGTCTCGCAATTGGATTCATCTTGATGCGAATTCTTGTTGAACAATCGCACATTTGCAAAAAATTTTCACCGAGCGTGTGTGAATTTCTCTATACTCGAGAGACAATCGCTCGTTATTATGCATAAGCCTGCCGACGAAGAAAGCGATTTGCATAACAAGAGCAAGTGGGTGTTCCCTCATTGCAACGTGACTGCCAAGTGTTAGGAAAATAAATAGGCGAGTTCGATCGCTCGATCAAATAGCGAACGAGCGAGAGAGTATCTGTCAAAACAGCCGTTGGCCGGAGCGTCCAAAATGGAAGGATAATATTTTCCTGCCTGGTCCTTGAGAAAATTTTATTGTTTCTCCTTCTCTCTCCACATCCAAGCCGTCCACCCTCGCTTATTCGCTGCGATAATATTGATTCATGATTAGCTATTGCGTCATGTTATTCATTTAGCAACTTTTGACGTTTTCATTATCAATTGTCGTATTTGCCGTTTATTTATGGATTACTACATGCATATTTAATTTCGTCGCTACATTTTCATACTACTACTAAATTGCAAAGAGAGATCTGCTGTTGAAATATAATGTTATACATCAACACGTTTACCGGCGATGCTTTAATCTTCTTTCGCAGCAATCGTAAAGTTTAATCTTTAGGAAGAAATATGTGCCGAGCTCGGATTTTGCAGATCGCTGATTCGGGCATGCCGATCCATCAAAGCAGCTAAACGGGCGAACGAGTAATTTCCTATACGAGATCTATTTGCAAACAGCGTGCAAGCTGCAACGAATCCGTTAGCACGCTCGATCGTTTCCCTAAATTTCGCCAATAATAGTAATGCCTCAATGGCGCTATTATGCGGACGATATATCCGTATGCGCCTAGCGCGCGACAGACGGCCGGCGTACATAAAGGTGTTGGATTTTGGGGGATTCAATCAGTTTTTGCCAAGGGATTACACCCCGCATCCGCGTCCACGTATAATACAGCGACGTTAAGAAAAAAGGACGATAATAACGTATAAGAGCGAGCGCGACAGACAGTTTCGTCGCACGTCCTGTCGCTTCCGTAAAATGTTTATCGCTAACAACCGGGCTTGTTTGCAGATCTCTGATTTTCGAAAACTGATTTTGAAAATTAATTTTCTTGCAGTTTACTTAATATTAACTTAATATTAACCACCTAATATTGATACTGAATAATATAATATCAAATATCTCGACGCACACAACGAAACGTTAAATTAAATTTATAAATAATATAAATTTCTCTCTCAAATTTTTATCAAAGTTAAATCTTTCTCTCAAGTGAGAAAACAAAATTGCGTCATTCCGTATGACTCCACACCTTGTTTCAGGAGTATGCAAAACCCTTTTTACGCGTTAAGCGTTACTCAATTCTGCCGGAGAATCAGAAAGCCACATTTAGCGTTTGATACTCGTCCGAGAGAAGGCCTCAGCAATGATGCTCGTTTCCGAAGACGTACATGCATGTTCTCGTGGGTGTTTGAAGGTCACGCGTAGGTCCAATGACAGACAGAACGTCCAATGGCTCGTCCGCCGTATGATATTTTTTGCGTCTCGCTCGCTCGCTCGCAGACGCAGTGATTTCGCTTCGATCGGCCTTACGTCCGCGTTACGGGCCGTTTCCGTCGAGTGCACATATCGATCGCACGGTCGACCCTCATTGTACCGGCGCGCTGGTCTGTACGGTGACATACTGGTGGCTGACAGAGACGGTGGTTCCCCCGTGGAGAGCGAGTACACGGCCACGAAGGGGGCGAACCGAGCAGCACGGTTAGCCGGGGCGCGGATACCGGGGGAACGAGGCAGGCTTTCCTAATTCGGGAAAACTCGTGAAATTACCTTGACCGATCGCTGAGCACTTAATCGAAGATTAATGACGGTGCTTTTGAAGAGGTCAGTCGTCCGGCAGCGAGCGGTAACCGCGTCGATGCTGGATCGAAACCGCCCGGCTCGGCGAATTTCGCCGACCGTCGATCGGCCGGTTGAAAAATTGCGTTTGCAAGCCTCGGTAATCAGAGACGATGCAACAAACACGTCCGGGAATGTCCTGAAGAAGAGGAAAATTATTATCTGCTCCGCTCCGCTTATTTGTCGACATCCATTTGGATTACCGATCGTTGACCGATTGTTTGGCGAGTTCGAACGCCGACACTTGCGGGAAACCGATGCGTGCGATCGTGTGTCAGCGGAAAATTCGACTAGCGTCGAATTTCCGCATCTGTTTAGACACGCGCGCGCTCTCTCTTTCTCTCTCTCTCTCTCTCTCTCTCTCTCTCTCTCTCTCTCTCCCTCTCTCTCCCTCTCTCTTTCTCTTTCTCTGTCTCTCTCCCTCGCAGGGTAGCCGGCCTCTCATTGCGAGTCGGCATTCGCAGGCTTTTGTGGTAAACCACGAACAATACCGCGGTTAGGCTATTGCGTCATGTAGGACTAACCCTGAGCGTGCGGAATGGAGCTCACGGTTTCTCCATTCGCGCTCGATGACTCGAGCACGCAGGAATACGGAAAGCCTTGTTTGAATTACAGAGGCACCGATCGCGGTGCCCCTGGCCGCGAGACTCGTGGAATTAATTAGGACGGACCTAACGCGGATTAACGCGCGCACCCTCATCGCGCGTGATGCATCGCAGGATAAACTCAGGACCAAGGAAACGTGCGCGGTTCAGCATGTGTTTGCGCATGGGCATTGCCGAAATTGATGGAAGCTGCCAGATTGGAATATTTAGCGACTACGAAAACTTCAATTTGTTAATTCAATCGTCGAGAGGTCGTCGTGTAAAAATTGTCGTGTAAAAATCTAAACAGTCAAACATCTGTATACCGAAAGAAAAATAAAATCTGAAAAATAAACATATATATGTATTCGGCGAATATTAAGAATCTACTTTCTTATACCAATCTATTTTTATTTACTAAATATATTTTATTGTTTACTGAAAAAAATAAGTTTTCAAATGAGAAAATATATATTTTCTTAAAATTGCAGTTTTTTTCATGAAAATAATTGTTTATTCTACTTGAGTAAAAAAATTTATATACATATATATATATATATATGTATATGTATCTTTATGTATCTTTACATGATATTATATAATTATAGAGACAGAGAAATTGACAAATATTTCCTTATAAAGCGATAAATATGATCAAAATGACATCTCGCATATTTGACAGCGACCGTCATAGTGTCAAATGAAACTTAAACTGCCAACGCGACGCGATTGATCTCAGATTGAAATTCGAGAGTCCTCGCGCACTCGGATGCATTATATTCACAGCTTTATGCCGAGAGCGGTTCACTTTGAATGAGAAATTATCTTGAGACTAATTACACTCCTGCGTGCAGGAAAACGTTATTCGGATGCTGTTACCTCGTCTCTAACCACCGGTACCGCGAAAATTGACGGTTTCGCGAAACGTCGAGCCGGCGACAGGGAGGACTCAACAAGAATCCACGCGTACACAAGTATACGCATGCGTGCGTGCGTGCGTGCGTGCGCGCGCTTACGCACGCATACACCCCGTAGTTTGACTCCAGCGCTAGACGCGCTTGGGGGACAGATGTCTACGGGGGGCAGGTGTACCCCAGTGGTGCGCGTGCCAACCAACCCCCCGCCGCGCCACCCATTGAAGACTATAATTTACTTGAAGAATGCCCGGCTGGGTCGGGCATTCATCTCGGAGTGACGTGGGTCGCTACTCTAGGTGGCAACGAGGCTGCCGATCACGAAGAGTCGATCGCAGATCGCGACGTCCGATTGCCACCCATGAAACCTCGGATACCACCGCTACGAATCGCATTTGTCATAAAAACGACGACACGAACGTCGCTGCACGTCCGGCTGGCTATCAGCGCGTATATTTCCCGCGGATTTTCAACGTCCGTCTCAATTTCCTCAAGGATGAATTTATTCAAGTTGGAAGAAACTGATTTAATTCTGAATCTAAACTGTAACCTCCGTGTAGTCTGTCGATTAGCGTGGGACTTTTTGGTGAATAATTATTCGCAGTAATGTTATATTTTGTCGACAATTTTCCAATTGGATACGAAAAATTTAACTAAATTTAATTTAACTTAACTTAATTCAACTTGATTTAAAAATTTAATTTAATTTCTGAGAAATTAATCTGCGATAAATCGAACTCTTTGTTTGAACTTAGCAATATTATTCGTTTAAATTCTGAGATACTCGCGATATTGCTGATTCAGATCAATAATATCCGCCTGATCTTGAAGCGTACAAATTTTCTGGTCACTTGTAAACCGTGATATATTTTTTTTCTTTAAATGAACGAAAAGAATGGACGGGGGAGAGGTGAGATTTGTAACGCAAAGTTCGAAATAATCAAATCCCGCGA